GTCAGGGGGATTTGGGGTGCATTGGGCATGGGGGTGCAGGGGAAAATGGGGGTTAAGGGGATATAAGGTGCATTGGGGGTCAGGATACAGGGTGGGAAATGGTGGCGCTGGGCAGATATGGGGTGCATTAGAGCTGTATGGATGCACTGGAAGGATATAGGGGAGCACAGGGGAGTGGGGATGCACTGGGGTTATGGGAGTGCACTGCCATGGGGGTGTGGGGGGGTCATATGGCGTGCATTAGAGGTAGGTGTCAGGGGGATAACGGGGTGCATTGAGGGCCAGGGTGCAGGGTGGGAAATGGGGGTGAGTGGGATATGGGGTGCATTGGGGGTGGGAGTGTTGGGGAGATGGGGGGTCTGGGGGACTGGTGGTACCAGGGGGATGTAGGGTGCATTAGGGATGGGAGTGCAGGGGAAAAGGGGAGTCGGGGGGCTATGGGGTGCATTGTGGGTGTAGGGATGCAGTAGAGGGATCTAGGCATGCAGAAGGCAGTGGGGATGCAGGAGGGCTATGGGAGCACACTGTCATGGGGGGGTTGCAAAGGACAGTATGGGGACACGCTAGCCCGGGGCTTGGGGCCGTGCTGGGGCTGCCTGTGTAAGGTGGGATTGTAGAGGTGACACCCCCCAGCTGCTGCTGTCCCCTGCAGGGGTGGGGGGACCCTCTGTGTGCCACCTGTCCTCAGCCCCTGGCACCTGTGTCCTGGCACCCGTGTGGCACCCACAGGTACCAGCGGGTTTGGGGGCAACCCCCCCACCCCCGTACCGGGGTGCTCCGTGCCCCAGCAGCACCACCCTGTCCCACAGCCCCCGTGGCCCCAAACCCCCTTCCGAGGCCACGAGGCTCCTTGCGCCATTTTGGGACCAAAAAGGGGCGTTTAGGACAAAGGAGGGAGCGGAGGCGGCGGTTGGTGCAGCAGTTCCTTCCCGGCCGGTACAAAGGCAAAACAAACCGAAAGCGTGTCCGTGTCCGTGTCCCTGCCCGTGCCCGTGTCCGTGTCCATATCCATGCCCACACTCCTCCCGGCGCTGCTGTGGCAACGGGCGATGCCCCGGGATGGCCACCGAGCCCCCTCGTGCGCTGGGTCCCCGCGGGCACCCAGCCCCGTCCCGGCTCGGTCCCGGCTCGGCTCAGCCCGGGGTCCCACCCGTGCCACGGGCGGGGGGGCGATGGCTTTTCAGCTGGAGGAGCAGTGGCGGTGGCAGTG